AGAGTTGCTTGCGTCTTGCCTAGCGGAGAGGAGGGGGGGGGGGGGGAGGAGAGAGAGATGGAGTAGGAGAAGGTGAATGTGAAGGAGAAGGAGAAGGTGAAGGAGAAGGAGAAGGAGAAGAAGAGTAAGGTAGGGTAGGGTGGCGTAGGGTTGGGTTGGGTTAGAGAGGAGGAGGGGGAAGGGAATAAGGGAAAGGAGGAAGACGAAGATGAGGATAACGAGGAAAAGGAAAAGGAGGAGGATTATAAATTCGGGTAAAAGCAAGAGGGAGAACAAAAAAGAAAAACGATAATAATGATAATATTAATAACAGCAATGATGATAAGAACAGCAATGATAGTAATGATAACAATAATAACGATAATGATAATAACGATAATAATAATAATAATGACAGCAATAATAATGATAATAATAATAATGATAATAATAATAATAATGATGATGATGATGATAATAATGATAGTAATAATAACAGCAATGGTAACAAAAGCGTTAATGAAAGCGCAGGCGAGAAAGAAGAAAAAGAAATAGGCGGAGGCAAGAATGGACAGACCTCGAAAATCTCCTCCATTTTTGTAGGCTGTCTGTCGCAACCTGCATTGCCTTTGTCATCGGCATCATTGTCATTGTCAAGACCAGCACCGCCGTGGATATATTCGATGTCACTGCCACAGGAATCACATCTCGCTGAAAGGACTGAGATGCTGCCGAGTAAACAGACGGAGGTGCTCTAAGAAGTCTGCTTGCGACTGAATTCCTAGTGGAAGCGCTCGGTGTCAGGAATTGCTTGCGAGGTCTAAGGTTGGGGATATTTGGAGGATGTTTTGTTTTCATTTCGAGAAGAGGGATTGTGTTTTGTTGTTATTGTTTTTTTTTAAAGCGATTGACTGTGCGGTTTATTTTTTTATGTTTTACTTCATTTTTTCCTAAATAGCTGGTTATGTTATGTAATTATAAAATAGATTAAAATATTCTTAATATTTGATTATGCTATGATATTATAACAGCTTTTATAAGTTGTTGTTGATACGAAGACATTATATCCCTTAACATATTCTAAAAAGCTCACCATTCTCTGTTATCAAGTCCCTTTGACTTCAGCTGCCTGTGATAAACTTCCTGTCGAGACGAATTCATTCTCTTGACGGAGTGGACATTTACACTGGACTCCCCGCCAAGCATGGACAGAGTAAAGCTTGTGAATACAGACCTTCTAATCAGCCTGCTTGCTTGACTCCGTATTCGGTTTGCATTCCTTAAGCTGTAGCACAGTATTGAGAGAGAATAATAACAAAAAAACGTAACTGTAAATCACTTCATTTTGAAATAAAGATCGACGTGAATTTTGTCGATACGGTTTGCTCGGAGACAACTTAACAACACAAACTTGAACCTTATGCGCGCAATGGTAGACGACCAAACCAAACATGGTTGGTTAAACACATAAACGATGTGAAAGAAAGAGGTTTGAGCAACTTAACAGTGACACAATTCGCGGTAGCAAAGCGCAGTGGTAGAGCGGGGAGGAGGGCCGCGGTGGGGGATACGGGAAGAGGGGGGGAGGGGGGAAGGGAGAGAAGAGGGGAGCATCCTACACACGGAATTTGTTTTTTACTGCTTGGGCTTGCGGGGTTCATGTTCAGTGTGTGTGTGTGTGTGTGTGTGTGTGTGTGTGTGTGTGTGTGTGTGTGTGTGTGTGTGTGTGTGTGTGTGTGTCTGTGTGTGAGAGAGAGAGAGAGTAAAGAAGAAATAAAAAATAAAAGAAAGGAAGAATTCACGAATCGAGTGACCAGCTTTACACCAGAGAAATAAAAATGCAAGAGGAGGGAGTGGAGGAAAGTAAAAGTTGGTGTCAGGAGGGAGGGAGAGAGAGATAGGGAGAGAGATAGGGAATGGGATTGGGAATGGGATGGGGATAGAGATAGGGAGGGAGAGATGGAGGAAGAGTGGGAGAGAGAGAGGGAGGGAAGGAGGGAGGGAGGGAGGGAGAGGGGAAAATAGGGAGAGGGAGAGGGAGGGGGAAAGGGAAAGGGAGAGGGAGAAGTGGGAGAGAGAGAGAGAGAGAGAGAGAGAGAGGAGAGAGAGAGAGAGAGAGAGAGAGAGAGAGAGAGAGAGAGAGAGAGAGAGAGAGAGAGAGAGAGAGAGAAAGTGAAGGAGGGAGGGAAAAGGGAGAGACCGGCGGTAAGGAGGGAGCGAGTAGGAAGCAGCGAGACTGAGTGTGTTGCTGTGTTCGCGTGCCACGGAATGATATACCCCACTGAATACGATTCAGTCCCTTACGTAAGTTTTGGGCCAAGTGATACGCCGGTATTGGGAAATGTTTTTACCGTTTACTATTTTTTTCATTTTGACAGAGCCTAGGAAAGAATGGCGAAGATAAAGAAAAAAGTGGAATTAATTTTTTCCGTATATTTTATATGTAATGCAGAATATAAAGACTATCAGAAGAGCCGAGTGAAAGTGCCAGTGCTAATATTTATTTTGTTTGCCTTTTCAG